AATTGTTTCATATGGCGTCTTTTTAATGATTATTCGTCAAATTTGTTCTGCAAATTTAAGAAACTGCAGTTTATCATAGCATAGTCTCTGGTTTTTCCATATATTCCTTAAAATGCTTGAGCCAGATTGCACCAACAGCACCATCAACAACACGATGATCACAGGACATTGTTACAAGCATTGTTGTTATAGTTTTGAACCTGAAATTAATTAGTTTAAGACGAAGAATGTTAGAAGGTATGAAATCATTTATAGAAGCAAATAAGTAAATAAAGAACGGAAAAAACAAGCAGCTTATGAGGAAATCGATGATTGTTAATAATCAGTTACGGAAGTAATTGGAAACTGTTCCAGAAGACTGCACAAATTCAGAACAATTTTCTTTTTTTTTGTAGAAAGAAGCTTACCTGTTTTCGTCATCATCAGGTACAACTTTACGCTCTGAACCTCCAACGGCCAGAATACAAGACTGCGGTGGGTTGATAATTGCTGTAAAGTGACGTATGCTGCCGAACATTCCCAAATTTGATACGGTAAATGTACCACCCTGAAGACATCAACAATATATTAATTTGAATTCACATGAAAAACATTTGAGATAAATAAATTTTTGCCAGGTAAGGGGCAATATTAAGTTCCAGATACTATGAATACCACCTTCATTTAATTCCGTTATAAGGAGGAAAACATTTATAAGGATAACATTTTAAGAATTTCTTCACTGTCTCAGTTTTTTTAATTCCGTTATAAGGGGGCATTTAATTCCGTTATAAGGAGGAAAACATTTGTAAGGATAACATTTTAAGAATTTTTTCACTGTCTCAGTTGCTAAAAAATTTTTTCCAGCAGAATTTTAAATTGACAAAAATTCTATAGCACGGAATATTAATAAAAGATTATATTTCAGCAATAAATATACCATATATTCGTTTGGTTTTAGTTTGTTCTTGTGCGCCTTATTTGCTAACTGTTTAATTTCAGTACTGATTTCGGTCAAACCCTGAAATTTTGTAAAAACCACGAGATTATAAAATAACTAAAAAATTGAGATTAGAGCAACTGTTTGATGCAGGTTTATATCTCAAAATTCAGTGATTGTTCGAACTTTTATACTTTCCTCTAGTTATGAGACTTCTTAGTGTCACATTTGGGACATGCAAAAACCATGTGAACACATACATCAATTTATCCCTAATGAAAACTTGAAAAAAGTTACTTCAAATTTTAACAATTTCTCGGAAAGAAAAATTAAAGTGACAAACTTTAACATCAGCATTGTGGACGATGGGTGTTATGAGTCCTGTTTCTGTTTTCACAGCAACAGAAATATCGACAGTTAGATTTTGACGGATAACTTTCTCTTTCTCCAAGAAGAAGCTATTGACTTCGGGTACATCCAAGCAAGCTAATGCACATGCTTTAATGACAAAATCATTTATGGATACTTTGACACCTTGGTTTTTCAACTCAGCATTTAAATTTGCTCGGATCCTGCAATGAAATTTCAATAATCTGATGATGGATCAATGAATTGAGTGAAAAAGCGATATGATTATTTCAAAACCATATCAAAGCAATGATTTCATGATGTGTATAAGCTAAAAATATAACGAATTAACAGAGGAACAACTCTCTAAGCTCAAAATTCCTTCCTTTTATCCATAGAATTTAGAACTGTGATATGACTACTTCATGACCAAGCAAGAATGAAGTTCACATTAAAAGAAACTAAAATGAACTGCTCTTGATCTATATTACTACTTAATCCATAAGAGTTCTAGTTAAAAAATGTCCGTGCAATTATTTCACAAAACATTAAACTTCCTAGTTTGATCAAGAATGTTTCGATAGATTGTAAAGCAAAAAAGAAAAAAAATCCAAGATATCACTAACTTTAACAGTTCATCCATTTTAATTTCAGAAGTAAGATAATAATGTGGTATACTTTGTTTACTAAACGATAAACGTTTAGCAATCGTTTCTCTCATATTCGTAAGTGGTATATCTTTGTATTTCAAATCACCGGTTATAACTTCTTTTCCTCCTTCTTTCAGTTTTTCTGGTGCAGCATTTTTTTCATTTAATGCCACATTATCATTGGCAAAACCAGGAGTAGTTTCGCTTACTTTAGTGCCTTCCACATCAGTTGAAGCGATAGACGCTTGAATTTCCTGAAACAATAAAACTGTTAAACTTTTCGTACGTACATAAGCGTCTGGAAATAATCACATTAAAGACATTCCTCACTATAGCAAATAACAGTACGTAACGAATGTTAGTAATACTGCCGAAGACTAATTGGCTAAAACAATTTGATGAGTTTTCCATTGACAGGATACGTAAATCATATGTGGAACTTCTGAAAGTGATATATGATTTTCATGTTATCAATACATTTCGTTTAATTCGCCTACAAAAGTATGATATTATTATTTGTCATATTATAGAATGAGAGAAAGGTAAGCAGTACTAAATGTTGAAGAGAAGAAAGGAGAATCGTAACATAGAAAAAAACAAGCAATTTATAAATCAAACGATTATTAGAGAGTTTAACATGAAATATTTATGAATATTGATCCAAAATAGAATACAGAATTTAAATTAAATTAAGAATAAAGAATTGAGAAACCGGTCGATATTATCATTCACATACACAACATGTTGTTAAAACATGCAATGATTATTCATATCATGTTTAAATAAAAACTGATATCACCTACCGACAAGTTGAGACCCAGGCCAGCAGTTAATTTCCGGGCACATGGGATAACAACGGTACGGTTACCTTCCGATTTCAAAGCTCGAGAAGGAGCAGTAAATGACGCACAACTTCCGGTTTTTGCAGTAGTTGTACTAGTTTTAGATATAGATGGAGTTGAAAGTGTTATTTCATACTGAGGTCCTGAAAAAACAGTGATATTTCAACATACATTTTATATAAGAACTGGATCATTGGTGTAAAATTTTGAAAGCACTGAATAGAAAGTGATCAAAAATCTTCATTCTCTAAAGATCACTTCTTGAGAAGTATCATAGTGTTCAAAAATTAATCAATGATTAAAATACCGATAATATTTTAATATTATAAGTCTAAATAATATTATATAAATAATTGATTGATAACATCATGAAGACTGCTTTAATACAATACTTAAATTGGACGTATCAAATGAAAAAAAAAAAAGAAACAAAAACAAAAAACAAAGCATATAAATAAAAGTTGACTTAAAAAAAGTATCAGAAACTCACTCCCCTATGTCATCAATATTTCAAAAATAAACTTTTCTACATATTCAAATTTACTGCCTAATTGTACTTTAAAAATAATACATATACTTGGACAATTCTTGAACTTTCTCAAGAATTCTTTTTGAAAACTAATAAATGTACTTATGAAATATCCTTTTTTCTTTTGAATACCATCATTAGATGATGAGTTAAACCTCGTTTTTGTCACTCCTATTATCATCATTAACATAACGATAACTACTCGTGTCTTCTAACAGTGATAAGCAGACAATTAATGATATCACATTTACCACTTTTTTTTCTGGTCCATTATCTTCAAATTGCTGTGAAATTCTCTGATCGATTGCAAGAATAATGATGAAAGATGAAAATCCCAATTAATTTTAATGCTTAACCAGATAATGCTATGATCCTAAACCAAACCAAACCGATCCTTTTTTTAACCGACAGATGAACAGACGAGTTATCCGATAAAATGGTTAAACTTTTTAATTTCTCTTTGGTCCCATCGACTTACATGTAAATATTAATATTGCATACATTATTACCAAAGTGTGAAGCGACTTCGTCCGATGTAAGTAAATTTTCATGCAACCCCAATCCAATTTGTAACATTTTACCTTCAGGTTTAACCTAATTTCCCTTCTTTTAAACAATCCTTATGACACCTTGCGATATATCATCCGACTCTCATATGTTTTCAACATATAAATATACATACATGACTGAGAATTCGAAACGAGACGGAAAATTAATATTCCAATAATTTAACAGCATGATTTTCAAGTTCGATTTTATTAATAGGTAAACATATCCTCGATTACCAATTATTCGGAAATACAAAAACATGTGGAAATTATAATGCAAAAAACTAATTTGAACAATTCCGATAAAGCTTTTCATAAAAAAAACAGTACCAGCCGTTTTGTAATTTGGTTTGGTAATCATTTTCTTTCGTGTCAATGTAAATTGTTAGTGCCTCAACTAAAAACTCACCCACCCACATCCTAATCAACTTTTGGACCAAAGTAAATTATGCTAAATTATATGAGTCACCCATGGAGATCTGTTCCTCCTAGTTGTATCCGTTGCTCGAGCCATCACCATTGTACAAACATTAGGGCAATTCTCATTCTAATGAACATTGTTATGCAAATAAAATTGGTTGTATATTATTTCCAAAGAATGAACTCGAAGTATTATTTTTGCTGTAACTTTTTTTTTCGCCACTTTCTTATAATGGAAGAATTATTGAAAACCATAACAGCCTGATATCGATGGTAAAAATGATGAATTATCTGGAAAGTGAGTGAATTGTTTTCCTAAAGAAAGCTTATAAATGGATCAAATTAATTAAATGCGACTGGAAGTTCTATAAATGACTACCCACTATGTTCCTTTTTTGTCAACAGATTTATTTTCAGGGTATGAAATAATACCCTAATATCTAACAAATTCCACCTACGACACTACTCAAACTTTGTTTAAAACACGATCAGCTCTAGCCCTACGACTAACTCCCATTCCTTCCTTCCATTTTTCAAAAAATCATTTCTTCCGCTAAGGTTTCTTTGAAAATCAACGGAAAACCCGTAAAAATTTCCCAATTTCATAGGCGATATAATTGTATTTTGTTCCTTTTATCCAGAAAGCCCAACAAAAATCAAACCTAAAAACCATACAATATTTAGAGTCTTATTAAAAGTAATGGAGAATAATATAGAAAAAAGAGAGGAGAATTATTTCTAGATTAAATTTGAATGGGAAACTTTTAATACACTTATTAAAAATATCGCTTTGTCTAGTATCAAAACATAGAGTGGCCACCGATTTCGATGTGCATGAAAACCAATTTAACTACTACAAAAAATAGGAGTAAAAGTTCGGTGCATTCTTCATTAGGAAAATTAATCAAGCAGAAACAAAGCGGATTCAAAAACAATGGCAGAAAGATTTATTCAAAAAATCAACACTAAATTAAAATTCATCTGATAAAGCCACGAGGGACAGCTGATAATAGTGTGTTTTGCACTTCTTAAGTGTTTCAATTGCCTGCAAAAAAATTTTTAACTGATAATCGCCAAGAAATAAGGAAAATTTACGGCAGATTTTCATTGAATTTCGTCAAAACCTGCAATCCTGAATACATTTCCCTTTCTTATCTTTTTTAAAGAGTGAATTATAACTCCACCGTCCTTTCCCACGCGCAGAAATTTTTTTCGGTTTTTTATTGAAGTGAAACAATAGCCAAAATTTGGTAAGCGATATTGGGACAGCATTTGAAATCCAATAAACTATTAAATCCATTCTCCAGTTGATTTTTTGATGATTTGGATTTTTTTTAAAGCATTCTAAATCGCGAAGAAAAGTTTACTGTATGCTTAACGTTAAGTTTTTTAAGAAATTCAAAAGCTATGTTCTTTTTCGGAAGCAAACCCTTTCACGTTATAAATATATATATTTTCTTTAAATTATGCAAAATTAGATATACAAGAAATTTTTGATCAAGAATTACAAAGTCCAAAAAAGTCCAAACCACCTAAGATTAACTAGAGAATGGATTTAATGAAACAGTTTAGTGAGATGCGTAATAGTTCTATTTCAGGTTTCACTTTAAAGCCCATCATCATCATTATCGTCCGCCGTACAATTGCAATACGATAACGTGCTTATGATGCATGGGATGATAAAGATCATTGATGATTTTGTGCAACGGAAAGTTTTGGGATTTTCGTAAAATTCCATTTTATATCTACTAATCTCGCGTGCCTAATCAAATGACATTCTAAATTGCTTTACATATGTTTACTTGCTGAAGCTCCTATTCAAAAAGAATATTCTTGACCATTTGCGACATGCGACATAATATACTTACGCAATTTGACTTAGAGAAAATAATGTGGCTTACCATCAACTTTGAAATTAGCAAACGCACCACAGTCCTCCTTCTTATCAACGAAAACGCAAATTGGCTGAAAAAAAAAGAAACTGAATCTTAAAATAAGTCAACTGAACATCAGCTTAGAAAGTTTAAAATTTACCATTATCCCATTACCTTCTACCAATGAGAGCTTCCCAAATTCCTTTTGTTTTTATTCAATTAGTTTATTTTTATGTGCAAGCACGCAACTTTCATTTCATCTACTTTTCATTAAACTGATTTCAACATTCTCCCATTATTTGATAAAAGCATTTGAATAAATATCAAAGATAACATGAAGTTTGAAGAAATTTATAATCAAAAGATCCTCTTCGGAATTCAAAAAGGACATGCAACTTACTTTTCCAATTTTGATACCTTTGGTGCCATCAGGCACCAGAATTTTAGCCAAGACACCTTCTTCGGATGCTTCAAATGCCATTACCGATTTATCAGTTTCAATTTCACATATCATATCGCCTTCCTCCACTTCATCACCTTCGCTTTTATGCCACTTAACAATGGTACCATGCTCCATTGTTGGTGAAAGAGCTGGCATTTGGATCAGTCTGTGTTCTGGGAGACCTAAAATGGTTATTATCTAAAACTTCATACAAGTCTGAATTAGCTGGTGATGGCGACTTGCAGCAGAATGTTGGCATATGACAGGCTTCATCTTGATTACATACGTAAATTTTCTTCTAACCTTCTAAAAAATTCAGCACCATTCAACTATAACTAAAATATTTTAAACGTGACAATTACCAGGCAAGTGGAAAGTGAAAGAAAAAGAAATTTTACCGCTAGAATATAATCGACAAAGCTGCTTGATGCTATTTTGAACCTGATGAAAACGATTCATGCAATGGCTGGAAACACCAAACAAAGGTGTAAGACGGGATGTAGATGCTGCACGTCTAGAAAAATAACTTTCCATTTGTTAGGTAATGAAGATAACAAAATCTATCTTCAAAAAGAAAGTTCTGAAATGTATAAATGTGAAAGGAATTATTATTAACAAACAGAGTATTCTCACGTCAATACGGTTAAAAAATTCACTACGTCACTACGATTAAAAAATTCTCACGTCACGTCACTACTGTTTTTAACAGATGTGAAATATTTCAATGTGAACATACATAAATGCAACTGGAACTGCAGTACGAGGTGCAGATGCAACATGAAATCCATTGCGTGAACAACGTAACGGTATTGAAATGCTTCGTGAAGAAATTTTAGGCATCATTCAGGATAGTTATTCAAATTTGCAGCGATTTTTTCTTCGAAATTCAGAATATCAACCGAAGATGAAACTATCTGAAAAAAAAGAAACAATTAGTAATTTATTCAATTACATACGACATCGAAGAAAAAAAAATGAAGATATTCGATGAAAACTGGAAATATTGAAATATCAATAGAAAACTGTATAGATACTGCAAATACAATAAGTGATGCCAACAATAATAGTAATAATAGTAATAACAATGATGATTAATAATAACAAACAATAAATAATAGTAGTAATAATAAACAATAA